CGTTTGCCCTCTTCCCAAGAGCCGGAAGCGAAGAAAGGAGACGCAGTCCCTGGTGCACGTCTGCCCCCTACAGGCCAGATTCTCAATTCACTGTAGGGCTCCCACCTACTTTCTGATGTGCTCTTTTCCAGTCTTCCTTCCCCCCAGGAAAGACAGCCTCAGGGACTCCCCTTTGCTGGCTCCCTTGATTTGGAGTATGACTTGGTGACAACCACGTGCCCGTTGTGGTAAGAATTTGGACTATGAAAGGAGAAGTTTTAAGAGACATGCGTTCCTTTTCCTGTCTGGGAGCAGTGTGCATTTCTTGCTCATATATTGACATGTAGCGAGGCAGTTTCCATTTTGGTCACATTAGAACAATGATGAGCCACAAGATGTCCAGAGTTGTCTCCTTAGGTTGTGAAACTGTGACACTTCATCTGCCTATATATTCCAATGTCTGGTTATGACCGAGTCAGAGATATTGGCCCGTTTGACCAATTATAACTGCTTTGGAAACGGCCTGTCTTACTAGCCCTACTCCTGCCTGATCACCAGTGGCCCCGGGCTCTCTTGCTGTACACCTGGCACAGAATGGTAGGTATTTAAATACATCCACTTGTGTTTTGATGGCTCCTTTCAAAAGGTCATGTTGGGTCTCCTGCTATCAGATGAAACTTGGTGGGACCAAAAATGTTGATGTCAAAGGAGAATATCTTCCTTGGCGTAATGGCAGAAAGTTGTCTTAAGTGTGTGCATACTTACTGCTACCACCACCCGGCACTAGGGTATTTTCTTAATTAGTGATTGATGGGGAGGGACCAGCCTATTACAGGTGGTGCCACCTTTGAGCTAGTGGTCCTGAGTTCTGTGAGAGGACAGGTTGAGCAAGCCATGATGAGCAAGCCAGTAAGCAGCTCCCCTCCATGGTCTCTGCATCAGCTCCTGTCTCCAGGCTCCTGCCCTGTTTGAGTTCCTGCCCTCACTGCTTTTGACGATGAATTGTTATTTGGAACAGTGAATTGGGTGTAAATGCTTCTCAGTGTTTTCCTGCTGACCCAGTCTAAAGGCATCTTACTGCAAGAATGCTGGCGTTACGGATTTGTGTTGCTGCAGCTGGCTTTTATGTGGGCGTCAGGGATCTGAACCCAGGTCCTTAGGCTTGTGTAACCAGCACCTTTATCCACAGAACCATTTCTGCAGACTGACCTTAAACTCGGAGGGAATCTTCCTGCCTCTGCCTCCTGAGTGCTGAAAGGACAGAGATGGACCACACCAGGCTTTACCTGGTGTCTGAGTGTTTGCAAAGCAAGGAAGCAGCATTCCTGTCATTTAAGCTAGAAGAAAATGTAAGCCATTAAGTCTGTCTCTCTTCACAAAAGAACTCAGAACAGAGTGGCTTCGGTGTCCCAGGGAGCTGGTGGCACTAAGAAACTGTAAGGAGTTGACGTGATTTCCCAGGACGGAAAGCGGGGAGGGGGTGTGCGGGGGGTGGGGATGGGGGGTTGGGGGTGGGGGAGTGCACCATGCCGCAGTGCGGTGTGAGCAGCAGGGCAGTCAGGGCTGTCTGATGGTTCTCAGCACTGCCACACTCTCAAGAATGTGCGCACACCTTTAATCCCAGCACTCGGGAGGCAGAGGCAGGCGGATCTCTGTGAGTTCGAGGCCAGCCTGGTCTATAGAGTGAGTTCCAGCACAGCCAGGGCTACACAGTGGTCCCCTGTCTTCAAAACAAAACCAAAGTAAAACAAAAGCAATGTGCTGGGACTGATTTCCAAGGATTTTTGGATATTGTAAAAAACAGAGAATTCCATAGCAGACTCAGTCTCCACCCCCAAAGGTTTATTTATTATATATAGTGTTCTGGCTGCATGCACGTTTGCCTGCATGCCAGAAGAGGGCACCAGATCTCATTACAGATGGTTGTGAGAATTATAGATGGCTGCTGGGAATTGAACTCGGAACCTCTGGAAGAGCATTCAGTATTCTCAACCTCTGAGCCATCTCTCTAGCTCCCCCTAGCTGACTGATTATAGGTTAAGCAGTTGTGACAACTTCTAAGATTGATGGAGCTCACCTAGAAAATTCATTTGAGTGATTTCAAATATTCCTGAATACTACAACTGTCATCAATTTCTCTAGAACTTCTGTTGTCTTTGTGAGCTACATAAATAAGACTCGGGCTAGGGAAGCAGTGGTCATACCCAGTAGGACTTCAGAAGAATTTTCCACCAGGCAACACACAGCCACCACATTCTCCTAAGAAGTAAAGGGGACAACAGATACCTAGGAATGAAAACACCACCCAACAAAGACAAGACCAGATATCAGCACCCACAATTAGAATCTTCCCAAACCCAGATGCCTAGATGCCAGTGTATAAACATAATCAACTCTAGCCAGGACAATCTGTCTCCAGTAGAACCCAGCGACCCTACCACAGCAGGCTCTGCATATCCCTTTATGAATATGATAGCGGTACTTAAAGAAGAAACTGATACATCCCTTAAGAAGTCTATGAAAACACAAGCAATGTCAGGGGACAAATAGAACAGTTCAATACAAGCAAGTGGAAGTAGATTCAGAAAGAAAACCCCAACTGAGGGAGGTCTGGAAATAAAAATTTAGGAACTTGGACAGGAATCTTAGAGGCACTCATCTCCGGCAGAATACAAGAGATAGAAAAAAGAATCTCAGGTGCTCAGTGCTGGGACTAAAGGTGTGCACCACACCCAGCTGTGGTGTGTGCCTTCAATGAGAGCACTCCAGCGGCAGAGGCAGGGTTAAGGGCCAGCCAGGTCACATGGTGAGGCCATCTCAAAACTAAGAAATGCCCAAAGCTACAAGTTAAATAGAGTTAAGGTGGGCATGTTTATCTTCGTTAGCGATGAAACCATAGACAGAGGAGCAAACACACACGTGGTCCCAGGTCTGCTGGGATGAACAGATGAACAAGATGTACCGTGTATGACCTCAGCATACAGAATTTACTTCAGAAATCGAATGCTGTAACTAAACACTGCCATTGCCACTTTCCACATTCTATGACTTAGTCCTAGCAGCAGCTTTCAGGAGAGAGGCCACCATTCACATAGACTGTCTGCACGAAGCCTAAACTCAGGCAGCTCTGTGGGAACATGACTCTCAGAGTTGAGAGTTCTGGAATATGTCATTTAGTCATTGCAGAGCACTTAAAGGAAGGGGACATTAACTATCATGCACATGTATATATCCTATGCAATCCTTTTTAAACCTTTAAAATGTATTTGCAGCATTTAAAAAACATTACATTTGTTTGTGTGTGCATACATGTGTATGGGTGCATACTTGCCATTGTGGGTGTGTGTGCATGTGCACGTGTGTGTATAGGTCAGAGGACATCTTGTAGCAGTAGGTTCTCTCCTATGGTGTAGGTCCTGAGGATTGAGCTCATAAAAGTTGGTATCATTTGACAGGACTACAAAAACGTTTTTAACATTCTGTTAGAACTTGGGCAATATTTCTTTTGCTCCTCAGTAACTGTATTTATTTTACTTTTATCTTATATGTACAGATGCTTTCACAGGCACTTGCATGACTAAGAACCTGAGGGCAGAAAAGGGCATCAGATCCTCTGGGACTGGAGTTACAGAAGGTTTTAAGCCTCTGTGTGGGTGCTGGGAATGATGCCCGGGTCCTTGGGAGGAGAGAAGCCAATGCTCTTAGCTGTGGTCTTTTTAGCCCCAAGTAACTGCATTTATTTTACACATATTTGTTTAATCCAGACCAACTCTACACACATTAAGGATTACAAAGGGAGCGGGAGAGACGCCAGCTTAAAGCCTATATACTTTTGAAGGCCTCATTTATAAAGCAAGGTCTTATATAGTACCCTACATAATGTCACATGGTTTTTAATTAAGAAAAGGTAGAAAAGTAATTGAAATTTAGTTTCTTCAGCCTTGACCCATGAGAAGGACAACGCTAAGCTCAGCGACATCTGGCTATGTGTCATGAAATCAGCATGTCGTTTCTCTTCAGCTTGGGCCTACCCTATGAATGCCATGCTCTTTTGCACAAGCGAATCTCTCTCTCTCACTTGTAGCATAGTTCTCCCCCCCACAGGGTAAAGAAGTTCTTTGCTCAAATTGAATCATTGGAAACTGCTATCAAAATGATTTCCCATTACTGTCCAGATAAATACTTTCCTATAAAATTAAAAGTAATAACACAGAGAAGTCTATTATATATTCACTTCTAGGTAGGTAAGCATCTGAGAATATAATATAGCTCAAAAAAGAAGTTGCCTGGATTCATAATGGGCACTTGCTAAGGGTAGAAGATCATAAATATTGAGAAAACATTGACAAAGATAAAACATCTTGAAAATTCCATAGGCTTTTCATTTTAGGATTATAGTTGAAATATGCATATAGCTTTCAGCTCATAGGATAAATGTGCTAAAATCTTACAAAGTAAGCTAGAGTAAAACATGGAAACACATAGGCATTTTTGACATTGGAGAATTGCAACTATGACTGTATAGAATGGGTAATATGTTCAATTTTCCAGATATTTATAATGAAATAAAAGGAAAAGTGATGGTTGTTCTTCCAGAGGCAAAATAGACTAAAGATACCACCCTACTTTAATCTATAGACCAGGATCGCCTCTAATTCACAGCTCTGCCTGCGACTGCCTTCTGAGTAGCCATAGCCAGCTCCAAAAATATTTTCAAATCATTGTACATACTGAAAAGAAATCACTGCCATTACAGCTAACCAGCTTAACTGGCAGGCTCTCTCCCCCCTCCCTCTCTCTCTGGCTCTCTCTCACTTTTTGTTTTTGAGATGAGGCCTTACTTCATAGTCACAACCCCTTTCCTCAGTTTCTCAGGTGCTGGGATTACAAGTGTGCACCGCTCTGCTCAACCCTCGTGAGTCTGAGTTGTATGTGCAGGCTGCTGCTCTGTTAGGTTTTCTGGAGTACATGTTATCAATCAAAACTTTCCATGTTTCTTACATAATTACACTGAGATATAATTTTGGGGAGTAAAAAGATTTATTAAAAGATAAAAACTGTAAATAAATATTAATACAAAAATGTGAGCATCAGCTACTTTGAGATTTCTTTTGTTGCAATTATGTTTACAAGGGCATAAATATGTCATGGTCAGGAAAAGCTTGCTTTTCCATCTTCTTTTCCCTTGTTTTGTGCTGCTGGGGATGAACTTGGGGCCTGGCATATGCTATTCACGCGCTCTACCACTGAGCAGAGCTCGGGCTAGGAAAAGGCTCTCAGTGATCAGTGGCTGGGGTGACACTAACATAAAACCAAGCAGATCGTACCTGTGTTAAGATTTATATCCTTCCAGGGTGCCCTGTGTCACACACTTAAACCACATAATACAGACACTTGAGGAGTAAGCACTCAGAGTAGAATTTTGGCAGACTAGAAAGGCCCTGAAATGTCTTTGGCATTGGGAAGCGAAGCTGAGATAATGCATTTCTTGACCATGTTACTATGATACAGTTCCTCCATCTCAGTGGTATCAGCAGGAGCCCAACAGGCTAGCTATGCTCCAATAAATGATGTGTCAACAGGATAGTACTAGAAAGTCCACAGGCTGCCTGAGAAAGTTGCTGGAATTATAGAATATGGATTATACTTGAAAATTATGGATTACACTTGAAAAATCCAACAAGGACTTTAGTCATTTTAGTTACATCAAAACTCTTTTTATATATAAATAGACATTTGCCAATAGAAAACTAACTTGATATTTCAATGAGCAAAGGAGGGGAATATGCTAACAATGGTAACGTTACTACTACTATTATTATTGTGCATAATACTGAATTGAGTTGGTGAGACAAGATGAGATACATATAAGGCAGGGTTTATGACGTACTGTACTCTTGACAACCCCCCAGTTAATCAATGGTCATCTTTCTCATGTCTAATGTACAGTCTCTGATAATCACGGATCAGAGCAGCAACCATGAACGCTCACACACAATGACCTCCTGCCCTGGGCAGCTGGGTGCTTGTTTACAATGCCATAGGAGGACTGGGTCAGAGAGCATCAGCGGTCAGTGCTACAGTTGCTACCAAAAGGCTGTAACTTACACGAATGCCACAATTCCAATCCCTACCAGGAGACAGGCTAGCACATTCGGACATTTTTTACCTACTAAGTAAAATGTCAGGAGACAGGCTAGCACATTCGGACATTTTTTAACCTACTAAGTAAAATGTCCAGGTCAAAAGGAACAATGTCAAGGTGTCGCAGCACGCTGTCTCCCCAGTTCATCTGGTCTTCACAAGGGCGCGTGGCCACATAAAATCCATTGCCTGTGTCCGAGGGCAATGTCCTGCTATGCACTGTACCCGTGTGGTAGCGGCGCTGGCTCACAGATGCGGCCGGTGTTCTCAGTGTTTGCCACACACCCAGCGGAGCTCATGGTCTGCCTGCAGGTCCCTCAGCTCTTCCACACTTCTCCAGCTGCACTGGCAGGCGTACGCCCGTGCTCCTTCCTTCCGGATCAACTTTGCTTTTAGTCTGTGGAATTCCGGCATGTTGTTTCTGTGGCAAAACAGACAGGCTTGAGCACAGCGTTCGTGTTTGGTGTTTAGGATGCAAAAGAAGGAAAAGCCATGCTTGGGTGTTCTGTTCCGACTGTGTTTCTTGGACAGCCATACTTGTTAATGATAATCTTCTAGACATGAGTGTCTGAAGAATTAGAGATGACAGGAATGGGAAGAGAACGGGAAGCGTGGAGGCTCACCCTACCTCAGACACTCACCCATGCCATAGAGGCCTAAGGCAAGTGGCAGAAAGGCAGTGGGCTTCTGGTGCATTAGCTACAACACACTTCCGTGACAAGGAAAACGAGCCGGAGAGTTCTCTATGCTCAGCTCAGTTATTTCTTCCCTTTGTTTATTTGCTTTATCCCCCTGCTTATTTGCTATATCAGTACCAAAGTGCCTATCCTGAAGTGTTAACGATGTAAAAAGCAACCACAGCAACCAGAAGACAACTATTAAAATGAAAACCATAGGCTTTGATTGTATTTAAGAATACAGAAGTTAGTGTAAGTTTAGTTATTACAGAAAACCAATTATCCTCTTTATGATAATTCATGTAATACGTTTATGAACATATCTTTGTCAAGCTAAAAATAAAACGTTGGGGGAGATGACACAATGCAGTGTGTACTTGCTGAAGAGGCCTGGTGGTCAACATCCTTACTTACTCTGCGGGAGAGGGCAGTTACCAGACTGCCCTCTGGTGGTCAATGCAGACCACGTTCACCACTGCAGTGTGCAAATTCAGGCACTGTTTAGCAGGTCAGAACCTAAGAAAACTCTAGAGACTTTCTGGGCCAAGTGTCTGAGTTTAGGAAAATGACACTCCTACCAGCAGTGACCTATCTAGGGTTATGAAGAACTAGGGGAAGAACAGAATAATCTGGTTTTATTTATCAGAATGAAAAATAAGCTCAGTAAAACTAAGTGAATGAAACAAACACATAATGAAACGAGCATATGGTTATAACAATGGAGCAGCTGCACAGCACCACCGCAACAGGCGCGCAGCTGCTGCACAGCGCCACCGCAACAGGCGCGCAGCTGCTGCACACTGCCACCGCAACAGGCGCGCAGCTGCTGCACAGCTCCACCGCAACAGGCGCGCAGCTGCTGCACAGCGCCACCGCAACAGGCGCGCAGCTGCTGCACAGCGCCACCGCAACAGGCGCGCAGCTGCTGCACAGCGCCACCGCAACAGGCGCGCAGCTGCTGCACACTGCCACCGCAACAGGCGCGCAGCTGCTGCACACTGCCACCGCAACAGGCGCGCAGCTGCTGCACACTGCCACCGCAACAGGCGCGCAGCTGCTGCACAGCGCCACCGCAACAGGCGCGCAGCTGCTGCACAGTGCCACCGCAACAGGCGCGCAGCTGCTGCACAGCGCCACCGCAACAGGCGCGCAGCTGCTGCACAGCGCCACCGCAACAGGCGCGCAGCTGCTGCACAGCGCCACCGCAACAGGCGCGCAGCTGCTGCACAGCGCCACCGCAACAGGCGCGCAGCTGCTGCACACTGCCACCGCAACAGGCGCGCAGCTGACACAGTGAAACAGAGGCTAGCTCGCTCTGTGGAGCCCCGAGGCCCCGCCCCGTCTTCCTGTGTTCTATCCACTCTCTGCTACCCTTAGCTTCATCAGATCACATCCTAATTCTAAAGATGGGAACAGCAGAGGTGGCATCTCCCTACCCTCCCTACCAAGTGTGTTACTGCCCCCTCTGACACGGAGGAGGAGGTCCTCCTTTTCCGACACAGACTCTTTTTCCATCAGTATTCAAGACCTCACTGCTTCCTTAACAGACATCCCTCCCTTTACCACATCAGCCTCAAAACCCCTGAACAGACCAGCCCCCAATTCTGCACTGGCTTCTTCCAGGCGGCCCTCTAGGACCACCATGTCCAAACGGATGCCTCAGCTGACCTTCAGAGACAGTTTCAACAGGACCTGCAACCCAATGTTTACGTTTGGCTTCTTCCTTTACAGGACACTATACAGTCCATCTGAACCAAGACAGGCCTGGCAGGCGGGTCCTGTGATGCTGCCTGTGCTGTCTCTGGTACATCTGCTCCTTTCTGCCTTCCTTACTGCTGTTAGTCACATCCCTTCACGGATTGTCATCCTTCTCCACTGGCCTGCTTTCCCTACGTGACAGCCCATTACCCTTTAACGGTTAAGAGCTTAAGCGGAGTGTGGTGGTGAATCCCTATAAACCGAGCACCAAGGAAACAGACAGGACGATGCCACAAGTTCAAAAACACCCCGGTCTGCTAAGCAAGTTCCAGGACAGCCAGAGCTACATTGTGAGGCCCTGTCTCACAATACAAACCAAACCAAACCAAAGTCTGACGAGGCCTCTGTCTAACTGGAAAGCTCTGACCCGTGAGCTACCGTTGAAGGGATTACATCTAATCCCCTTACTGTTGCTAACTCCTCTACACTACCTCAGCCCTGGCCATCTCTTGCTCTTGTTAAACTACTCACTCCTGACTTCCCACCATGCCATGCGATTTCCCCTGTCTGTGTCTTTGAAAATATCCCCTAAGTGCTGGGGACATAGCTCAGTTCACAGAGTGCTTGCCCAGCATGCACGAAGTCTGATTCAAACCCAACCACTAATAAACGAGGCCTCCCGGTTCATGCTGAGGTGTGCCTGTCACCCCCGTTCTCTGGCTCTACTGTCACACTTAGTACCATGTCCTCCACACCGTGTCCCCTCCCTCTCAGAACTGTGTGCTTCTGCACAGCAGGAACTGGGTGCTCGTCCTAAGAGTGGCCCAACTCGGTGCTGAAGAATGTCCATTGTCAGAGATGCTAAGGAGTTAGAGGGAGCAGATGCGTGGTGACCTGAACCACGGTTGACATGACCATATTGTCTAGTTGCTTCATTCTCTTGTTTTCTAAAATACTCTCGTATCTCGAGGGTAAAGACTGTATTTGTCACTGATTTATGCAACAGCCACCAATTCAGTTATAACACTATAATAATTCAGTAATCACTATTTTAGGTAAACTACTTTCTGGAGTAAATCGACTGGTGTCTCGTCTTTTCTTTTGTGAATAGGTCTGATCTGGAACTCACTGACCTCCTGCCTCAGTTTCCAGGGTGTATCTCCACGTCTGCCATCCTGGAAGACTGAGGCGCTGTACATTTCTCATGAACCAAGTCAATCCCTGACAAACTCACTCTGTGCCTGTGTTGATGTTGCACACTTTATTATCCTATGCTAGTCTTATAAAATTCATGCCCATGTTGGTGACTTAGAATTACTTGTTAGATTAACCCGAAGACAGTAAATAGCGAAAACCCAAACCAAACAAAGCAAGCAAGAAGCAAACAAACAAAGAAACAAATCCCAAAGGGGACTGAAATGTAATTTTCCAACTCAGAGTAGAAGGGGTTGAAGCTAAGGGTAGGTGGTCTGAGCCTGGGATTTTGGGACTATACTAGACTGTTTTTGGGTCAGGACTGTGGAACTTCTGAAATATGTTCACGCATGATGTACTGCACCTGGAAGGACAGGGCGGGTTTGGGGACAGAGAATGGGGTCGGATGCATCAGGAGAGGGGACCTGCAAAGGCAGAGGGAAAGAATGAGGGTACCAAGGGCTGATGCAGCTAAGCAGAGGTGGGGTCCATGGTGGGAAGGCAGGTTGGAAAGCAGTTGGACCATGGGCTCCTAAAGATGGCGTTTAGGAATCCCAGCATACATTGTGAGCAGAAGAAGCCAGGGCAGGACAATGGCATGCTCGGAGCTCTTGCTTAGGTGAGGAGGAGTGCCAGAGAGCACATGGCTGAATAGATCAACAGTGCAACAAAAAATGAGCCATGAGAAGCCCTTGGTACATTTTCACAGGCTGTGGTGGTTTGAAAAAAAAAAAAAAAAAGATGGCCTCAAAGGGAGGGGCACTATTAGGAGGAGTGGCCTTGTTGGAGGAAGTGTGTCACCGTGGGGGTGGGCTTTGAGTCTCTTTTGCTCAAGGTTCCCTCAGTGTGACTGTCAGTTTGACTTTCTGTTGTCTACAAGATGTAGGACACTTGACCGTTTATCCAGCACCATGACTGCCTGCACGTCACCATGCTCCCCATCATGGTGATGATAAGGGACTGAAATTCTGAAACTGTAAGCCAGCCCTCTCAATGAAATATTTTCCTTACAAGAGTTGCTGTGGTCATGGTGTCTCTTCATAGCAACAAAACCCTAACTAAGACCAAGAGCGAACATCCTGCAGAAACATACCTGAAGAACAGGTAATCACATGACTTGTCCCACACATAGTCATCGTAGCTCACTATCCGGAAGTCACAGGCTAGACAACGCAGTCGGTCACATGCTCTGGTCAGAGAGAGACAAATGCATTAAAGATGATTGCTATGTTTAAATAGGAAAATACAGGCTCAGATAACTGAATAGGAAACAGGAAAGCATGGATTAATGATTGTAATTGTTTGTATTAAAGGACTGTGTATATGTTTAAGCTTTCTGGCTGGATGTGGTGGTGCACTCCTTTAATCCCAGCATGGGGAGATATCCTAGCACTGTGAGTTCAAAGCCAGCCTGGTCTTTATATAGTGAATTCTAAGCCAGCCAGGACTACACTACACAGCAAGACCCTCTCTTGAAAAAAAGAAGCTTCCAGGTTAATTTTCCCATCTATCTGATAAAGATTTTGCATAATACCTGCATACATACACATACAAATGGGTATAATATGAACACAAAGCGAAGAGTGGATTGGCATATCAAAGAATGTGAATTGCTACCCTGAAATGAAACTGTCTTCCATAAACTGCCACTTCTGGAACCAGCACCTGTCTGTTTCCAAAGTGTCTGGCATCAGGGCTCTCATTTTCTCATTACACATGGTAGGTGAACTAGACAGTATTCACTGCAAATGAGCTTTTAGTGTGTTAGAAGAGGAAAGGTGCTTGGAATGAGATGGGGGCAGCCTGAACTGGCCTCAGTTACAATGTACCAGAGCATTTTCTTTAAAAACTACTGAGGTTATTTGAGGGAGAAAAGGATCCCGCTTGTATACTGATGGCAAAGATGCATGAAGAGCGAGACTATGATTATGTTGGAGAGCAAGGGCAACAGAGAGGCACTCAGTGACTGTGTAAAAAGATGAATGACAGGCAAGTCCCTGTAGGGACTATGTAGTGGAGGCATTATGTGTTATATGGTAACTGCAAGGAAAGTGATAATATATCTATTCTATATCTATATCTATATACCTAGCAAGGTTAAAAAGAATTAGGAATTGTTGCTGCAGCAACAGAAACAGAAATTTTCTCCATTATGTGAAATATTTAATAAACAAATTTAATGGATACATTTAATAAATAGTAGAAGTTGATGAATTGTTAAGACACACACAGGGAGGGGGAGAGAGAGAGAGAGCGCACATGCACAAGTATGAGCAGTGAGCACATACACAGTAATAGTGCAGAAAACTTTACAAAACAATTATCTTATATAAAGTACTTACAAGTGACAACAAAGTGAAAAAACTAGCAACATAATTTCCGTGTGACTAGTGGGCAGAACTGACATTGGCTCAGAGTACAAAGTGCTTTAGTCAAGGAATTTCTTTGTGACTCAATTTTTCTTTATATATTTTCCAATTTTGCTTTTGTTCTTTTCGATAGTGTGTTGTTTCAAAATATTTTACTAGTATACTGTTTTCAGTAATAGTTCTGTAACAAATAAAACAAACCAATTATTAGATTTTTTTTTTCCTTTTAAAATTAAGATACAGGCTAGGCAAGGTGGCACATGTTTGTAACCACAATACTTTTAAGATGGAGGCAGGGGGATCATCAGAGGCTACATGGTGAGTTCAAGGCCAGCTTGGACTGCATGAACAGTCTCAAACTTCAGATGTGTAACTTCAAAACTGGAATAATACTAGGAAACTTCTGATCTCAAAGTTCCCTCGAGAATTAATGCTTAATATATTTCTTTAAACAATCTTATTTTGCACACTAATCCCAGTTCCCGCTCCCTCCCATTCTCCCACCACCAACCCCCCCCCCCCATCAACTCCTCAGGGAGGGTGAGGCCTCCCATGGGGAATCAACAAAGTCTGTCTCATCATTTGGGGCAGGACCAAGGACCCTCCCCCTGAATCTGGGCTAAGCAAGGTTTCTCTCCATAGGGAATGGGCTCCAAAAAGCCAATTCCTGCACTAGGGTTACATACTGGTTTACTGCCAGAGGCCTCATAGATTGTCCAAGCTCTCCAACTGACACCCACGTTCAGGGGGCCTAGTTCTGTCTCATGCTGGTTCCCCCTCTACTCTCTTACCTTCTTCCACTCCCCCAGGCCTCCAGTTTAAGCTTAATATTTTTAAGAGTATTAATTACAGCTAAACATTTGTTTCCTAAGCCACTCCTTTTAAAGTTAGTGGTTGCTGCCGCGAGTCACTTCCTATGGCAATGCAATCCAGTTGCATTTTTAACACTTGAATCGGGTTCTGAATGTAAGTCAGGGAATACAAATGATGGTTCCCAAGGCTCCCATAACTTGTGTTCTTATGCAGATGTAGTTTATTACATGCTCACAACAGAGTGTTAACTTTAATGCCTTAATACATATGTGCAATTTGGCTGAATTATTGCTATTGTGGGAACCATAATTTACATTTTCATGACATTTTGTGTGTAAAATCTCAACCACTATGTTATATAAATTTAATTTAAAACTTAGTATTTTATCAAGTTTATTCACACTACTATGTTTTCTTACAAAGACCGTCTGATAAGAAAACTACAGCCAACTTGCAGCTAAGAAGTCATTCTGCTGCTATGATGCACCGTTAGACCATAACTAGTGCCAGCCAGCGGGATAATCCAGCCTTGCAAGTAATTCACAAACACATTAACAGAGAACTTGCTAAGCTTGAAAAGGATGCCTCAGCCTAGACGTGATGGAGCCCACCTTTAATCCCAGCACTTGGAGGCAGAGGCAGGTGGATCCCTGAGTTCAGGGCCAGCCCTGGTCTACACAGTGAGCTCTAGGACAGCCATGGCTACACAGAGAAATCCTGTCTCGAAAAAGCACAAGCAAACAAAAACAAACAAACCAAAGAAAGACAGGAAGGAAAGGCAAGGGTGCCCAGTCCAGTCCAGTCTTGTCTACGCCACTTGCTAACGACCATGTTCCCACTACTATTCCCCCAACTGGGCAGAGGCTTGCATGTTCACACTTTAAAACAGTCCACATTGAACGACTATGTTCCCACTACTATTCCCCCAACTGGGCAGAGGCTTGCATGTTCACACTTTAAAACAGTCCACATTGTCCCTGCATTGGGGCCTAACCCAGGAATCAAATGAGTAAAATAAATAGGCACAACACAACTGACGTTCTTTATGACCTTGACATAAACGTTAGTACTTAGTTTTGGGACCTATGAATATTTCTTTCAGAACTGTATCCTGCCCCAGTACACTACATACTGCTAGTTTTGGAACACATTAAAAAAATTAAAATTGAAATACAGCTAATACTGAATATGTTAGCCACATTGGAGTCATTGTAAGTCAAATATCTGTTAGCATAAAATAATATGAAATCATGACTTCAATGGAGAATAAACTAAGTTTTTCCCCTGTAAAATATGGAGGGACTATACTAAGGAAGGGTATTTATATGTTTATCCAACGGGAAAGCAGAACTGACCATGTTATGGATGTTTACAGTAGGAATACTCAAAATATAGTTCTCCCACATAACTGCCCAGACTCTGTAGTTCTTAGTTAAATCCCATCAGATGTACCACAAAGGGCTAGAAAGTCTTGATACTTAGAAAGTTTCAAAATAATATTGGCTGGCTAGGTATGGTATCACATGCCTATAATCTTAGTGCTTGAGAGGTATAGTCTGGGCCACAAGACACCGCACATGAAAACAAACAAACAAACAAACAAACCAAAGCAACAGTATAACAGTGAAAGCAGCGAAGAGCCCTTGTTTTGTTACAATGCACCCACTGATGCTGGACATATTACCTGGGAGCCTATTTTTTTTCAGGGCTGGGTGGAGAAACAGGATTTTGCTGTGTACCTATGGCTGGCCTGGTTTTACTCTATAGTCCAGGCTGCTTTCAAACTTGTGGCAAGCCTCCTGCCTCACACTCTCAAGTGCTGGGGTTATATGCATGAGCCAGTCAGCTAGGCTATCTAGAAGTCTGTCTTCCTTCCTTCCTTCCTTCCTTCCTTCCTTCCTTCCTTCCTCCCTCCCTCCCTCCCTCCCTCCCTCCCTCCCTCATTCATTCATTCATTCATTCATTCATTCATTCATTCATTCATTCATTCATGTCTGTATGTGTGGACGCCAGAGCTGGCTCTATCCTTCTACCATGTGGGTTTTGGGGAATCTAACTTAGGTCAGGATCTCAGCTCCATGCATTTTCATCCACTGAGCCACTCAGCTGGCTCTCCATAAATTGTCAGTAACTTTCTATGTGCCATGGGCATTTATTCTTCAAATTCTATCAATTCTATACTCTACATCTAAAATTTGACGTCTTTCCCCTCCAGTCAGTCATGCCCAGGCCACAGCTTCCTTTCTCTTTTTTCCTAGACGGTGGTGGCTGCAGCCTGGGTGCCTCTTTTCCTGGAACCCCTTTCTGCTTTGATCATCTAGCAATCGGGGACTTTTCCTCTTGTCCTGCCATATAAGGTCTCACGATATCTGCAAAAAGTATGTTTGCTTTTTAAAGGCGAGGCTACTGCGTGAGGCTCTAGAAGCTACTATTCTTTCTTGAGGGTTGGTGGTCGAGTGTCATGGTGACACAGCGACGCTGACCCTTTCTTCCAGGATCTTTACCTGCTCCTTTACTGGTCAACGAGCCCAAGGCTTTGGGTGTGCACTCCGACATTTAAAAGAAGAAACAAACAACAAAAGAGAAATTAAAATGGAGTAAGAAAGTGAATCTGTAGTATGTGAATAAAGCGCAGAGGACAAGAGGGGACATGTGTTAGGAAGGAGCACCATTCTCCACAGGGAACAGATGCTAAGATACTCAGGGGTAGGAGATTTAAGAGGGGAAAGACAAGTGTTCCAGTACAAACTGCACCTACGTCAGGGTTTACTCAGGGAAGAGACGGGAGAGAAGAGGAAGACCAGCACCTTCGAGAGGACACGGTGAGCTCAGGGGAAGAGACCAGGTGTTTCAGCAGGGTCCTCTGCTCTGGGAAAGCTGGGTGTGATGAGGTGAGAGAAGCTGGAAGTGGGTGACAGCAGAAACTGCTGCTGTGGTTCCTGGTAACCTGACAAAAGTCGCCTTAGAGATGTCGTAGCTCTGAAAATCAGTTTTTCTGTCCAGCAGGCAGCTTCCCAGGCTCCCAACTTTACTTTGGTCCTATGGCCTCTCCGTTCTGGGCTCCTAAAATTCACCCCAATCCATGCTTCTATTATATAATAACCTTTCAGAAGTCTGCTCAATATGTAGTAATAGTCCTTTCTTCTTAAAAATAAACAAAAATGAATTATTTTAGAAACAACTAGGGGACTGGAGAGATGGCTCAGAGGTTAAGAGCACTGTCTGCTCTTCCAAAGGTCCTGAGTTCAATTCCCAGCACCCACATGGTGGCTTACAAGCATTTGTAATGGGATCTCATGCCCTCTCCTGGCCTGTAGGCATACATGCAGGCAGAACACATATATAGGTAGGTGGGCCTCTACCAAAACCAGAACATAGGTTTGCTTACAGTCAGCTTTCTCCCAACCTGTGAAAACAGAGATAGAATGTACCTGAAGTGAGTGCCACCTTGATTCTAAGGCTAAAAGAGAACTAAATGAGACAGTAGGGTCTTGCAGGGGTGGGAGAGACAAGCAGAAACATGTAACGTCAAGCTTGAGAACTCTGGTTAACAAAGACCTTTAGCTTCTCATGTCTTCTGGCCAAATCAGTGAGGCCAAAGGCACCGCACCGCTGGATAGCTCAATCACTTCATCCACACGAGCCACTTTCTATGACTTAGAAGACAGCACATTTGCACTCTCCTGGTGCTCTGTAAGAGCCTGGGCGGGACTCAGAAAAGGGCTCCCATACAATGAACTGCAACCCAACACTGCAACCTTCTTTGTTAATCTAGGTCTTGTTATGTTGGCTCAGGCTGGCTTGGCCTTGAATTTGTAATTTATAGCAATCATCCAGCCCCAGACTCCACATGCTGGGATTACAGGCATGTGCCACCTGCACAACTCAGCCTTCAATAGTTACTTCCCAAGAACATTAAATGAGTCAGTGAAGTGTCCTTAGACTGCTCAGTACAATACGCGGCTCTTATAGTAAAGCAGACTGATGCCAAGGCAGTAAGACCTGTACTCTAACAAAGGGCATCCCAGCAAGGAAGCAGACTACCTTTCCCACATCCTACCTCTGTGAGGTGTGTGTTCCAATCCCACATGGAATGGTGCTCCCACTGAGATACACTGGGCTACAGCTACATGTGTCCAGCAGATGGAGAGAAATGAAATTACAACAGAAAAGAAACACGAGAAGTTAGTTTGGTCTCACCGAGTCCATGTTCTTGTTATCATATTATATGCTTTCCTCTAGCAGGCCAACTATTTCAAGGAGGAGATATTTACTACATGATCATTCTCTATAAGATATAACCTGCCTCCAAAAGCATTCAAGGAGTTAAAATGTGTCACACAAAAAAATGTGTGCCAATAATGTAAGGAATAAAAGTAAATACTAAAGCATGTTACAGAACATTAATTCTAAGAAACATTAACACTATTTTTTTAAACACAGCAGAAAATTATTTACAATAGCAATAATCTCCTATTTAATTTCCTTTACACTAAAGGGGTCATAGATCCTAAACACACTCCAGATATTGCTAGTGGTCTTTTGTTTAAGGCCAACCGGTGCCTTGTTCTTCAATGGCACTGTTGTTGAAATGGTAACAGTCTACCAGCCTATCCTCAAGGCCTCTGCTCACTCAGCCCAGAATTCACCAAAGCCATCTCAGCTTACCTCTTACTGAGGCCTTGAATGGAAACTCCGACAGATGTGTTACTTGAAGATTTGGATTTCAATTTTTGCTAAAAAACAAAACAAAAATAAAAGACCAAAGGTTTAGAGAACAACAACATTTTAAAATGATGTAAATAAAACATTTTGGTGGTATCCTTTCTAGATACCCAAAACCAGTGCTCAAGACTTTTTAAAGGTAAGCGGGAAGGAGAGCTCCCTGGAGAATTTGCAAAGTAAAATGTTTTTGGCCCAAGAAACAGATCTACTGCTGTTATGCAGGCTAAGATATAGTCATTTTATACCTCTTCAGTTAATACCAGGGTTCAATGATTTAATATAAAGGGCCTGCTACTTAAAACTTCATTCTGGAAAAATTCAATCGAGGAGGGGGAAAATCCCAGCCCCACTTTTGACGCTCTGAACGGTACTGATCTCAACTAAAAGTAAGCTCCTGTACAACCTCAGGGTTATTCATTTTGACCAAACGTAATGGCATCAAACAATATATGGCCACGGAAAATGAGAGCTACCTAGTCACAGCCACACAGTAGTTCCTTATGTTCTAGCAACACTACCGTCATTAGTGAGCATTTATTAAGTGTTAACTGGTACCAAGTAGCGAACATCATAAACCATCCACATCCTAGGACCACCGCCAGCAAGAGGAAGCAAGACAGGGAAAAGGCATCTAAAGCTTTGCAGACATACCTTCATTTCACTCAGTGGCCGAGGAAGCTTACTTAAGGGCAAAACTATTTCACTTTACCGTCTCTCTCAATTTTTATTTGATGTTAAACAGGAAAATATTGTGCTGCATCTGTAAAACTTCAACCGTGCACAGGAGTATCTTTTCATCTGGGAAGCATGTTTCCTGTACAATGCAGGATCACAACTACCTCGCTAAGCTGGCACACTAACATTTGTTGTTGCTTTGGGGTCCAAGAGCAGTTTAAAAAATGCAGTGAGACAGCAGAAGATGGGGTGAGGAGCAGAAAAATGAAAATAAAAAACAAAACCAATATAGAAATTCACATTCACTTGGGACTTAACCAAACCCACAGAAATAAGCTAGTTTGTTAAGACAAAGATAGTTTATTGGTACAAATTTATATAGGTACCACACTTACTATCCTTAAGACATTTAAACCTATGTGTGAACGAAAAGGATAGTGGTTCTATTTGGGAAGGAAGGCAGTACAGTATGATTTGCAGAGGTCTATATTATATTTTAAAATTTATCTTTAAAAAGCCCAGCTGAGCACGCTGGCATATGGGCTAACTAGTGAGACACTGTTAATTCACTTGGAGTCACAATAAAATCACTCGGAGTGTGTGTAGAAGCCAGAGGAGAAGGGAAGGGCCACTGTCTGGGGGATGCCTTAATGGAGGGGACATTAGAACACGGGTGACATAAAGACAGAAGGCGGATTTTACAGGTGCTAGTGGGGGTGAGGAGCGAAGAAGAAGGAGAAGGGAGGCTTAACCAAAACAGTGTATGAAAACGGCATGTGGAAACCTGTCACTCCGTACGCCAATTGAGAGGGGTCAGCTAATTTTAAAAAGTCCAGAGAATATAGAAAAGTGTCCACATGTGTAGAATGGGTAGATATGACAATGAGTTCCTCACATAGTGGTGTACAGGTGGCGGTTACTTTTTGAACTTTTTAAAAGTTAAAACAGATAAGCATTTAAAACATTAAAATATTTACAGTGTAGTGAAATCCACTGGTTTGGGGAATAACAGTAATGTCATTGAATTTAGACACTAAAAACGTTCCTATCCTGAAAGCTAACTGCTTTGGGCCTTTTAGAAATCTAAGGGTCTACTTGATCTGTGGTTGACTTGTCCACTTCAACTTTTCCCATTTCTCACTCTTGCTGAGACATTAACAGAGACACACACACAGTTTCTAATATTTTACTCTGTACACTCTTTAAAGTGGAGGTCGAAGGATTACGTCAGGTGGCTACTGTGCCTTAAACTTCTGAGGCTACTCTAAGCACCTTAAATAATGACAGAATTACTGTACACTTATAACATGACTTACAAAAGACTTGTTATCAAAGTTAGGCTCCTCAAATATCTCATTAATAAGACTGTCAAGGTCATCTTCTTTTTCACATGTTTCTGTTGATCTGCAAAGAAAACAGGCACACACATAATAAACCCTCCCACACAGATGACTCCAACAGTTTAAATGCCACAGGGGAGAAAGAAATGACAGACCCCCACACAGAACGCCTGGGATCCGGTGGATTGTGCACTCTGATGGAGCACACCAACAGCAATGTGGGAAACTCAGTGCTTATTACAAACAGTATGAAGAGGAAGGAGGAGGCTGCTTTGGATAGTCTCTGTGTGCACTGGTTCTAACCAAAGGCCAACCGTTTGTCAACAAGCTTGATCGGGAAGGCTGTGCCATTACTGTGGGTCCGAGGCACTAGGATCCTTGACATGGCCAACCTTGTGTCAATAACATACTTCAACCAAACACACAGAAATAAGCTGTTTGTTGAGATATAGTTTATTGGTACAAATTCATACATGTATCTTACTATTGTGCACTTAAGATATCTAAGATTATGGGGGGCCTGGAGTGATGGCTCAGTGTTTAAGAGCACTGAGGTCCTGAGTTCAATTCCCAGCAACCACATGGTGGCTTACAACTATCTGTAATAGGGATACATGCATGCAGGCAGAACACTGTATACATAATAAAAGCCAAAGAACCACCACTATGTGTCAGAATAGCCCAACAAACCACATTCTTCAAGGGAAGCCACCAGTGGATGATTAGGACAAACTACTGCTGGGGATACAGCACACTGGTAGAGTACCTGTTTAGCATGGGCACTCCTGGGTCCTAACGTCCAGCTACCACCCCCAAAAGGTGAACATTTACCAACTGTCAGGCAGACAGTGTCCTAAGGCTTTCATTCCTTCTATTGTTAGGCGAGGAAAAGGCACTGAGAGATCCAGCAGCTTGTGAAGACAAAGGGCAGCTCACATACCTACATCCTCCGAGACAACTGTTTACAGCTTTTATAGTGTAGACACTGTTAATCAACTTCAGAAGTTCATTGGGCCATTTTATGACTTGTTTTAGATTATTTTTTTGATTCAAATTCTTTAGAAATGTATTTACTTTGAAACTTAACACTAGGAATGTGTCCCTTGTGCCAAATGGTTGATACTATTATTTACAGGCTTTGCTTTGTTAGCTGTTCCTGTTCTCACTTTTATCCATCCTGTCTTTCACAGCATTTTCCTTTGCTTTAGAAGTATGCTGAAGACTTGTTATTCTAAGCAAGTAACAACAGCAGCAAACTCTAATCACTCTAAAAATTCCCCTGAAGCTACCATTCTTTCTTACTCACAAGTGGGGTAGCCTAGTCCATCATTTGATTTAGTATCTGTAATTCACATGGCTGCCTCAATCTTAGAACTACTGGAATCTGGGGTCAGATAACTCCTGTATGTTAAGAGGGGGCGTTACTAGACATTCTTGGCTGTTTAACAGGGTCCCTATCTACCTATTAGATGTTTATAGTATACTTCTTTTCCAGTTGTGATAACCAAAAGAACTCTGGCCATTACAAATCTTCACTGGTCTAGTGATACTGACCTAGTTGAAGTAACTTCATGTCTCTGAACTTTAGATAATGTCCCTATTGAAACATGTCTTTTTTTTTTAATATAAATTTTTATTTAATTTAGAAACAATCTTATTTTACATATCAATCCCAGTATTCCCTCCCTCCCATTCTTCCAATTCCCCTACCAACCCCCCCTCCATCTACTCCACAGGGATGGTGAGGCCTTTCATGGGGATCATCAAAATCTTTTACATCATTTGGGGCAGGACCTAGGCCCTCCCCCATGTATCTAGGCTGAGAGTATTCCTCCATAGGGAATGGGCTCCCGAAGTCCATGCACTAGGGATAAATACTGGTTCCACTGCCAGAGGCCCCAAAGACTGCCCAGACCTCCCAACTGACACCCACATTCAGGGGACCTGGTTCGGTCCTATGCTGGCCCCCCCAGCTGTCAGACTGTGGTCCATGAGCTCCCACTTGTTCAGCTGTCTCTGTGGGCTTCCCCAGCATGGTCTTTACCCCTTTGTTCATCACTCCTCCCTGTCTGCAACTGGATTCCAGGAGTTCAGCTCAGTGTTAGCTGTGGGTATCTGCTTCTGCTTCCATCAGCTACTGGGTGAAGGCTCTACAACAGCATTTAAGGTAGTCATCATCTCATTATAGGGGAAGGGCATTTAAGATAGTCTCTCCCCTATTGCTTAGATTCTTAGCTGGGGTCGTCCTTGTGGATCTCTGGACATTTCCCTAGTGCCAGATTTTGCTTTAAACCTATAGTGGCTCCCTCTATTAAGGTATCTCTTTTTTTGCTCTCCTCTGTTCTTCCCATCTTTCAAACTGCTTGCAGGTCTAATGTTCTATCTTTGGTTTCATCTCTATTTCTCTCAGCTACAGTGAACTTATTACCTTAAATCATTTAAGTCTCTTTCAGAAGCACATGACCTAGTTGTATATGAGGTCTTTTGAAAAAGGGTCTCTCTCCTTTCTTTCTTGTTTTTCTTGAGACATGGCTTCTCTGTGTAACTGATGTGGCTGTTCTGGAACTCACTCTGTAGACCAGGCTGGCCTCAAAAATCACAGAGATCTGCCTGTCCCTGCCTCCCAAGTGCTGGGATTAAGGGCGTGTGCCAGGCAAGACAGGGTCTTACTATGCAACTCTCAAAGACCACTCTGCCTCTGCTTCTGGGATTAAAGATGTGTACCACTGGGCCCAGGCTATAATGTTTCCTCATGACATCCCTCCTTTGGTTCCAATGACATACTGTCTAGAATCTTTTCTCATATAATCCATGAATTTTAAGAGGCAGATGGATCTTGAGGCTGGTTTTTATTTAGAGACATGGTCTTACTAATTACTCAGTCTGGCCTCAAACTCATCCTTAGATCAGTGCTATCAGGTCTACCTCAATTTGATGAATGAAGAAATAATAGAATCCAACCCACTGGGTGATAGTGGTAACACATACAGGGGATTTAGCACACAGAATAGACTTAGTAATTGTTAGCTGTTGCTATTATAGCTATCATCTAAGAGATGGCATTATCTTAAGTATTCACATCTGTATCACCCTGAACCACTTTATTACTCTTGTAATATTTCACTCAACCCATGCTGGTCTTTAAATGAACACAAAGCCATTCAAATACTTTTTCTTTCGTTCTTTCTTCCTTTTTAAAATCATTTTGAACACTTCAACAAATTGCATGCATTTACAATTTATATTATGGCTATTTCTGGTATCCAGATGTAGTATGGCCATTTATCATTATTGTTTGCAAAGCTATGATTTTAAGAGATGGTTTCAGCATTTTCATTTGTAAAAAAGATAAAAGTTATACCATGCAATAAGCAGGTAGTCTGTCCATAGACTCATAAATGGCATCCTTTGGCTCAGTGCAAACATTCTATACTACAAAGGAATAGTACTTAAAGCCTGACTTTGGGGATTTGTTGTTGCTTTTTGTACAGTTTCCAAGCACTGTGCCGGATAAAGTTTTAACACAAATAGTTACAGTTCTGATTCACTAGAGGCTTGACATATGTGTTAAGGTGGATAGCGTGAGCACGTGGATGGATTCTAGTAGTTCAGAAACAGGCACGAAAAACAGGCACAAAGGTTGGGGAGATACACACACACACACACACACACACACACACAGAGCCATCTCTTCAGTACTGAGTTGCCTGCTCCAAGACAGCCTGTGCTTCTCTATACTGGTCCTAGGGTGATACACTCTCTCCAACCATAAAGGAACAATTAAAGAGACCACAAGCTGCATAAACAACCGAGACATGGAAGACAGCAATTTATAAGTTAACAGAAGTATACTTTCATAAACATTCAGCCAAATGGGGGTTGGCCAGTTAAAAGCGGCCACTTTAGTTGTCTATTTTTAGTTTTAGTTTTTGGGACAGAGTTTCTCTGTGTAGCCCTGGTTGTTCTGGAACTCTCGTTGTAGACCAGGCTGGCCTGTAACTCAGAAACCTGTTGGCCTTTGCCTTGGCCTCCTGAATGCTCGTTATGAGTAAAGACATGTTCCACTACCGCCCAGCTAGTTGTCGATTAAAAACATGCTTCGGAACTTCTATTTTGAATGCTTTTAGAATCTTTTTAATGCTTCTCTCGCCTCCAGATTTAATTATTATAAACAAATGTGATGGTAGGTTCAGTTTCAGGTAATACTGCAGAACCACAAAGGCTCCGACCACAGTTGCAAAGCTACTACTGTTTTACCACCCGCCTTTCCCAAAGGTTCTAGGCAAGCGACACATTTCCAAAGGATTGTAGCAAGGGTTATTGCCGATCCTAACCCCGCACTTTAAAGGGTAACGTGATGATGCTTTCTTTTTGTTGCTGTTCAAACCCGGGAAGACTTAAGTGTCCTCAAATTTCGACCTGGATCTGCTGGGTCCCTTAACTTGGAGCCATGGGGAATGGCAGGCAAATGGGCTGTTTAATTCAGGTGTTTAAAGTGGATACTTCTTTAATACTTTAGTCTCACCTAACTCCCCGGGCTGACGTCAGACAACTATAACACGGGCTGGTTTTCTAACAATTGGCCTAAGGGTTGCCTGGTAACGGGGGATGCTTCAGCTGGGCGGGGTGCGCTTGGGCCCTCGGGATCCGGGGCCGCGGCTCCCGCGGGCTCGCCCAGCGCCGGGGGCGGGGTGATGGGTAGGCCACCGAGGGCGAGCACTGGGGTAGCGGGGCCCAGGCCGCGGCTTGGGGCCCAGCAGGGCAGGGCCGTGCCCGGGCGTCCACCCGCCCGCGTTAACCTGAGCTTCTCTTCCTCCTGGGCTCGGGTCCGGTCTCCGCTGTGGGTGCCGCCGCCGCCGCCGCAGCCCGTGGGCCGCTCGCCCAGGCCCAGCCTCAGGGGCTCGAGTCTGCAGAATTTGGTCTCGACTTCATCCAGGAGCTCGTCCAGGTCCTTCGCCATCTTGACTCGGCGCGTCTGGGCGCGTGGTTTCCACGGCAACGCGAGAGCCCGTCGGGGCCGCTGGCCCGGCCCACCGCCGCCGCGCGTGCGCAAACCGCCCTGGGCCTCGGACGCGCGCAGCCCTCGCACTCAGCTTGGTGGCGGTCGGGGTCGCGGCCGCTTCCGCCGCCGCAGGCGGTCTCGGTGGGTCCAGCCTGTGCGAGCGCGCTGCCCTGGGCTTCGAGCAGCCTGTCGGCCCGCCCGGCTCACGCTCTCCTCTCGCTGCGGTGCCTGACCACAAACACAGCGTCACTCCCCACCCTGTCCCGACCCCAGGCGCTTCAGACGTTTGCAAATGTCTTTAATTGTTCGGGCAGGGTCCGGGGCAACCGCGAGTGCAAAACAAATGCGTGCAAAAGCAACCTCTCTTCCCGTAGTCGGCAGGA